TTATATAACTATTGTTTCAAATGCAATTCATTATACTTTGTAATATTAAAGCCAAGTGAGACGCGTATCACAGCATTATACGGTGATCGTAAGAATAACGTTCAATGTTTTAAATACGAAATAATATTTTTACTTGCATCTCTCTTTTTCCTTTCGAAAAGCTTGGTGTTCTACTCTCTAAATTTCTTAGAGCGAAATCTCACTCGAAATACGAATGAAATGAATGAAAAATCTCTCTAAGTGCGAACTGTGATTCAGTGGTCACTCCACTCTTTTCGAGTGAAATGTCATTCGGAGCAATTGGGAGAGTGACATTTTCAAAATCCTCGCAGACTATCGATATACCTCCGAGCGTGTTGCGGAAGGGAGAAACGCGAGAACTAGTCTCCTCATCAACATCCTGTACACGCGCATGTACTCGCGGACGCGCGACAATGATAATAAATAAAGAAACGCGATATAAACGCGATATAAACACAATTTGCTGGTCGTATTGACAAAGCAATATCCTCGGCGCGGCTAAGATTAATCGCCGGCTGCGTAGCCGCCGCAGTTCGCTCTATCGTTTCTAATCGAGCGCGACGTATCTAATTGAACATTCATGATATTGTCAAGGCGCGCGTAACGGCCGACGGTGAGAAATAAATGGGCGCCCGCGAGATCGAGCTCGGGTTGAATTAAGTAACCTCGGCGGCGAGGCGCTGCGCACAGGTTAGGTTACTAACCGCCGTCGCCTGGAATCGCGCTGAAGCATCGCGACGACGCGCCGATGTTTATTACGACTCGCGTACTCGCGACAACACAAACCAGCTATCGTCCATTAGGCGACGAGGTGAGACGCGTATCGCGACTGCCAGAGTACCAACTACTAACTACCGGCGATCCGCGATAACCGGGTGGCGGGGGGAAAACGATTTCGCTATTTGACATTTATGAATGTGTGTTAATTAAACATTCACGTTTCCCTCCCTCCCGCCGTTCTCATTTGCATATTGTCGTCGAAGGCGTTTATGCCGTCGATCAAAATTAACGCGCCGTATAATTGACGTTGCCGCGCGCGATGCGCTGATAACGTCAGCTCGTCGCGACTGAGTCGCGCTTAGGCTTACGGAAAATTTTCGCCGCGAGTATATCGCGCACGCGACGATTTCGACCATGTGGAGGTACCATCTAACGTTTCCCTGTTCTTATCGATGAACACACTGAGTGAGGTCCTCTTTCAAGAGGTCGCCGAGACAGCTGAGAGAGAGAGAGAGAGGGAGAGGGAGAGAGAGAGAGAGAGAGAGAGAGTTGCGAATAAACGCGAGACGCGTGCGCAGTTTTCGCGTTAATCTCGTTATGAGCGTGCCGGCGAGCTCGACTTGAAATCGAGCGTGTGTAATCAAAGATAATCGACTACTCGCCGAATCTTGAACGTATGACAGGTGTATGATCCTCGCGGATATATTTGCACGCTCGATTGAGCCGAACAATTTCCACGTGTCTTATCGCGAAAGGAGAACACGAGTGCTTAGAGAAAGATAGAAAAAGAGAGAAAGAGAAAAAGAATGAAAACGCGACTCCCGACTCCACAGCACGCGGTGAAATTATAGTGTTTACGCGAATTAGATTTCGGTTTCGGTAATTTTCAGTTAATAACGACGAGGCGAACTGAACCGAAGCGGGCGAACGCTAAGTACGGCCTCGGGCCCTATTAATGCTATTATAATGTAAAAGGCTACCTACGCAACTCCTCTCTCTCTCTCTCTCTCTCTCTCTCTCTCTCTCTCTCTCTCTCTCTTCCTTGCTCTCGATCTCTCGGTCTTCTCTCAGACTTCGTCTCGCTCTCCTCTCTTTGCGCGTCGACGCACTCTCGTGGTTTTTGCCGCGCCGTGCGTGTGCGTGAACAAAAAGGAAAATCCGAGACACCGGGGGGTTTAGGTCTCTTGTATATTATCGGCATTACGCCGGGGCTACCTGCATTATAAGCCCATTTCCGATAAATCGACTCGATTAAAAACTGCCGCTTAAAAACCGCGTAAACCACTTGGTTCCTCCCCTCCGCCCCGCGCCGCGCCCGTTTTTAACCCCCGCATCCTATCGAATCGAGCCGGTGCGTGGGCTCGCTTCTAGAAATTTGCTCGATCGGCCGCAGTTTTCTCTAAAGACCGCGCGCGCGTATATGTCGATGCACGTAAGTGCCGCGTTTCTTCGCCAATATGCGCGGGACGTGACGGGGATACGCATATAGCCGTTGCGAATTAAGCTCCTCGCGGAATCTAGATTGAGCTAAATTGAATCAAGCGTGTACAGAGTACTTGAGTGTCTTATGTACCTTCGGCTATGTAGATTGAATGGAACACGAGATTCATCTACCATTTCGTAAATAACCATGTAAAATTTTGTGTCATTAATTAAAGAAGATCGGTGGATGATCGCGCGCGATAATGCACCAATATTCTTTGATTAATGGCTGGAAATCTATGTGGTTATTTGTGCGAAATGGTAGAGAACGTTCCTTTAGAGCCTAATCTACAGCCACACGAGGTATGAGCCACTTTGCATTGAACACCCTGTATATATGCGAGGGTATATAAAGAAGAAGAAGGAGAAGAAGAACAAGAAGAGAATGTGAAGAGAAGGTGGACTTAAACGCGTGAGAAATACGTATGAAAAATATATGTATCTTATTCCCACTTGCTCTGTAATATATCTGAAAGTAGGGCTCTCAAGTGTTCCGATTAAAGCTTCTAAATACTCAGATAAATAGCTGTCCGGATACCAGATCTGATCCGTAATTTTAAAATCGTATTACACCGCAACCGAACTTATCTGTTTAACTGACTGCGCCACAGACTTAGATTCGGATCCGATTCAATTGTCCGGATATCTTCGAAACATCCGAATCCCCGGATAATCTGAATTTAAAGCGTTATATTTCCAAACAACCGGACAGATCCGAATAAGTATCGAAGCCCCAATCGAAAGCCCATCGAAATCAGTGATGGACGCTCCTCCGTATGTTTCTCTGTTGGATTCATTTCGATTGCACGCATCGTCGAGTTTCCGTGTTAATTTCGCGAACACGATGATGAGAAACTATCAAGCAGTGGCTTGTAACACCGCCTCTGTCGGAGCCACCGGCTTGCGAGTATCCATCGCGAACGATTCCGTTACAACTTTACAAGCAATATCGAACACTGTTACACGATTGCCACGATGCATGGCGGCATCGCGATCGTGCCAAGGCGCGGGCTCGTTGGAATCATTAATTCCTAGTAGGCAAGGTCGCGGTGAAAGGAACGATACCTCTGCCCTCGCGCGTTCGCACGCGTCCGTGCGTCGGCATTTGCATTTAAAATATGTTTCATTTCAATTTATCATATATTTGCCTTATAACAACATTTGCTACATAACAATGAATAATCATTTGCAGCTATGCGTGTATACTTTAGACTCTCGCCCGCGATACCGAGTTTCGTTCAAAATCAATATGAAATCTATATTTCCACCTGCCCCGCGCGCTTATCTCCAGTCATAATATTTTATTCCAGATAAGCGCGTGTCGTCACATCACGATAGATGAGATTAAATGTTCGATAGAGATCTACCAATTAGCACCGACTAAACATAGAATCGCGAGACTAGCCAAACTTATCGATCGGCTTGAAAATGGAATATTTCCGACGCGATAACGAGAGAGCCGTCGCGATAATAACGTCCATTTTATTGACGTTTTGTCTGATTGCGCACCGACCGCCGTACGCGGCCGCGTCCTCGCGCAAAATCGGCCTTTGTGCAGAAACATGAAGTTCCTTACCGCGCCCTAATAGCTGACTTTAACGGCCAGCTTAATTGCAAGGCAGTCACTTCGTAAATCCTTCCACGAAGGAGGAAATTTGAGGCCGCGGAAATCCCAAATCCCGAAGTGGTTTATGGTCGGCACGTCTCGAACGAGCAGCATTTAAAATCCGCTCGCAGCGGAAACTAGACCGCAGCGATTTCCCTGACCATTCGTAGAACCTGATCGTCGCTGATAATACGGTGCGGTCACCGGGTCACGTGACAACCGATGAATCGCCTTATTCTCCGTCCACGTTTCAGTCGTGTATCGGATAGCCGGACGAATGCTTAGCGTTCTCCAATCATCTCGTTAGAGGTATGTGTTTGAGGTACATCGCGTGCCTCTCTACAAACAAATCCGTATCCTCCGTGTCGAACCGCGCGGGTGATGCGCGTCATTTTCTGCGGAATTGTGATTGTTCAAGAATCGGAGATCTCGAGACCCGCGTGAAAAATTACTAAGCGTGATGTCATATCTGTGAATACAAAATGGGAATTTTCAACTACTGTAGCGTAATCGTGCTTTTATCTACACAGCCATCCGACAGCAAGTACTTTCGACGCACGAGTGAATGTACACCATCCGGCATGACAGCCTTAACATTCACTAGGCCTAAATTCCAAACAAATTTCTCGATTACGTGCGATATGCATTCGTGCCTCATGACTGTTGATTATTCTCAGGAAGAGAGAGCCACTTTCTCGAAATAATCAACAGTTATAATGCACGAATATATGTAGGTATATCGCGCATAATCGAGAGATTTGTTTGAAATCAAGTCCAGACTGCATTATATATATTTTTTTGGTAAAATTTTCCTCAAAAAGTACGTTTTATGGTATGCCATCCTAGTAAGTAAAAATTTAGTAAAACCGTTATGTCGAACTGTGTGTCTCCGACATGGAAGATATTTTTTGCACGACTCAGGGCCGTGTACGTGCTCACTCGGCTACACATTATCATCTATCCATTCTCGTTTAATGCTCAAAGTGGTACAATTAACTGTAGACTGTGTCTATAAAAAGTCTCACTGGGAAGTGACATTGACGTCGATACCCGTTCTGACGACTCTCGTGGTGCTTCGAGCTTTCGCGTTCAGCGTCTGTAATTAGATCGCGTACAATTAAGCCTACGTCCAATCGCATTTATAACGCGATATAATTATCTTTCTGCGCAGATCATTCGTCGCGAGGAGGCAGCGAGCAGGCCGTCTCGCAGACGAGTCCTGCGAGCAGTACGAGTAGCTCGAGCCAGGTGACTCAGGTGAGCCAGCAGGTGAGCCAGCAACCTCACCCGCAGCCTCACCAGCAATCGGCGCCGGCATCGACCACGACTACGCCTCAGTCCATCCAAATGGGCATCTCCACGGAAGAGGTGAGGCCCGAGGAAGAAGGCACTCATCCGAGAGCGGCCCCGACCAGCCCCGAGAGCGAAGCCGAGGTGGATGACTTCGCCCCGAAGAGGAAGCAACGCCGCTACAGAACCACCTTCACGAGCTTCCAGCTGGAAGAACTCGAGAAAGCCTTCTCTAGGACGCATTATCCGGACGTGTTCACGAGGTGAGTCGCAAGCGACTACTTAATATAATTCGGAGTCTTATCAGAATCGGGTTCAAAATCGCACGGGGCTTCGTGTATTAAGAGCTCGCAAAAGTTTGTCGAATTCTAGCCTATTCTTTTGTTAATAATGACAAAACAATGCGTGTTATGTTTGATCCAAGCATTTGCCGTCGTTATCCGACATTTTCCGTCACCTTTCAGGTATCTATTTGATTCTGCGTCTGTAAAATTATTAGTTTTTCGAGTCATTGAGATTATCGACGATTCGATGAACTTTTGCAAGTCGAAATAATTGAAAATAATAGAAAAATCGTAAATAGCATATTCAATGCAAACAGCCATTAGTCACCAGTTGCACTTTAACACTAACTGCGCTTTAAGTTGCTGCGTTGATTGTACAAAAGCTTAACTGATAATTGAATTATCAGAAGATATGCGAAATGAATGTATAATTTTAAACGCGTATATTTTTTACCTTGTTTCATCAACTCTCTATTGATCGCACAACTTCAAGCGCAATTAATTATTTATTTAATTAATTGTACTTCATAATTTAATACTTTGTGCGCGCAACATTTCATGATTGCCGAGGACAAAACACTCTGGGCTATCATTGGAAATCGATGAAAAGTCGAAAACAATGATAATTGAAAGAAATAATCTCTTGAAAAATCAAAGAGCTGCGAATGAATCGAGATAAATAAAATTCTATCGATTACCGCCGCTAAAACGCAAAAGAACATGAATATGTGTGCACTTCGCAACAGTTCGATAAACTAACGGGTTTGTGTTGAGAGTGCACTGAGAAAAAATGCTTGAAAATTTATGTAGGATATAAAGTTTATTTCTGTGAAATAAATTATATCTTTATTTCTGAACACAAGTCTCACGCCCCACAAATGAATTTTCCACTATTCTTTTGCCAGCGATTATAAATCGAGGAGATTCATCAAACGCATATGTGCATCCATTAGCAATCAAAAGGTTAATGAGACACATAATGTCATAATGCCAGTGTAACCGTCACGGTCACATTCAACGTGTTAATTCAATCGCCGATACACATACATTTAGTTACTAAAAGGCGGCCACATATTTTTCTGAATCGAGTTGCAGCGCCCCTGATTATCATAACTGTTGACTGCTGTAATCAGTTAATGAAAGAATATATTTAAACTTTCAAAGTTCATAAGTTCGTAATTTAAACCACGAGGGTAACGATATTTGAATGTTACATTAATCAAATTTATTTTCACATCCTATATAGCAGTGTCTCTTAATTTTTGACAACTAGGAACATTGCAACTTCATTCGGAAAAATGTGTGGCACCGTTTACTAACTGAGTGTACAGTAGGTCGCAAAACGGTTTAGATACAATGAACTTCAGAGCGTAGCCAATGGCCCAATAAGAGAAGGAATTAGTGAAAAATAAGTTCTCTCATTAGACCATCGGTTACGCTCTGAAATTCATTGTGTCTAAACCGTTTTGCGACCCATTGTACGTTATTCTTCGCGTTGTGCGATGTCATTCGAGCGAAAACAAAAGCTTGGCCACGCGTAGCTGCCCAGAAGCGCCCTTCTTCTCTGTCTCCGCGTGCCTCTCTATTCGAGGACAATCTTGACCCGGCTAAGAGTTTACGGTACATCCCGGACACGAGCGATAGAAAGCTCGTAGCTACCTCCCGTGAGTCCGGACGATAGGCGAGGTGTCTAGTCGCATTTATCAGGCTTTAGGGCTTCAGTGCTCGGTGGAGTTAACGGGATTTAGATACCGCACGAGTCTGACGATTGGCTGCCACCAAAATATTTGGTGGGCGTCCGGCTCCTGTGCACTCTCGCGGTTATCGTCCGGATATCGCGTCCACGAGCTACTCACACCGAATTCTTTTACGAAAACGGCGGTCCCTCTACCATTTCGGACGTTTACGATCGGTGCGCACAGGTAGTCCTTGAGCGCGGTCGTAAAGAGAATCTGGTTATCCTAGGTATACGCGAGACTACCTCGAAATAGTGATGATGACCGTATGACGGTCAGGAATGAGTCGCTTGCACCATCTATCTTTCGCATGCGTGGAAACAAGCAGGCGTGCGTGTTAACTGGCGCGCCAAATTAGGTCTTAAGCGGGAAATAATAATGGATCCTGCCTAATGGAAAAATAATCACTCAATAATTCCTCCCCCCTGGTGGGGTTACCGTCATCATTTCGTTACATTGTACCGCCGTCGATTCCACGTTTCGTGAGGAAAGAAGCGCAAGAGAGTGAGAGAAAGAAACACAAGGGAGAGGGAGAAAGAAGAAAACAAAATTCAAATCAATTCGGATGCCACCAGGGAACAGTTCTTAAGTACATCAATCTTGCATAATGATCACGTCTGTGTTTCTTCTCCTTCTTCTCCTCTTTTTTTTATCTTAATCCACGGCAGATTCGAAACAAGTCTCACGCACGGCCGGACTATCCATCGCGGTTACGTCTGCGCGAGTGGTAACCGCGAGTGTAAATTCGCGGAATGATACATCGATCATCCGGGCCTTCTTGCGGCTGGGCTGACGATCCTCATGCAAATTCCCATCCGTAGTCGCGGAACGACGGTTTCGCATTATAAGTCCCCTGCATACTCGGGTCCAGTTACATACATACAGTATCGCGCGCCGCCATTGGGCCGCGGCGCAATCTATCTGGGTAGCTTTTTCTTTTCTCTTGTCCTTTTTTCGGTGCCTTCCTCCGCGCCGTGGAACACCCGGTAGGTAACTAATAGCGGTGTAATCGCTCGTAATAGGTCCGGTCCTGCGGCCACGGTATGGGTTCTCGTAATTAACGAAGGTGGTGGGGAGTATGCAGAGAAAGGAGAGAGAGAGAGAGAGAGAGAGAGAGAGAGAGAGAGAGAGAGAGAGAGAGAGAGAGGAAGCAGGTAGAGTATTCGTGGTGTATGGTCAGGGCCGGAGATGTATTCGCGGCGAGACACGACACACACATGTATATGCGAATACGTATGTGTGCCGTGAAGTTGCGACCAAGATAGTCTTTACAAGCAAAGTGCGCTTACCCTTCGTTTATCTAACGGAATCGCGAGGATTCCGAGTCCCTTTAAAATTCTAATACTCCTATAGTGAAAAGAAAAGATTGTCAAACGAGACCTGTCAGGGACCTTCCGTCGTCCATGAAGAGATGGAAAGATACAGAGGAAGCTTTTCACTACTCCTGTTCGACCGCCACTGTCTCAGTTTTCATAATGATACTTTATTTTCTTATAACGCCGACACCTTATCTGCGAAAGTTTCGTTTTTCTCTATATTCCCGACGGGACAATAAAAAATCGGCTTGATTGGCCCCTAATAACGTTCGTATTAATTTTGTTCGTTTGCACGCGTTTCCTGTCCACGGGAAATTGCGCAGCGTTTTCTTGCTGTTTCGCAATATAAATTGATCGCCGCTTCTTCCGCCATTTCGCTGTATAGCGGTATTAATTTCATACTAATTGGATTTTATGGTCGCTTAAGTTTATTGACTAGCCTGACGAGAAGACAAGAGAGAGAGAGAGAGAGAGAGAGAGAGAGAGAGAGAGAGAGAGAGAGAGGAGGGAAGAGAAAGAGAAAGAGAGAGAGGGAGGGAGGGAAGAAGGAGGGAGAGAAAGAGACAGCGTAAACCGCGTCACGCAGCGCGATGCATATTCATTAGGCGTCTTTACACGTAAAGGGCACGCGTGCGATTGGGACCTATCGAAATATACATCGACGGCCCGAGCCTGCCTAGTGCGACTGGCCCCGGCTTCCTGTTACATCGCGAATGAAAATTCATTCGCCAATAAAAGACACATGTTCCCGCGTGGCGGACCGTGTACGTCCAATTGGACGTCGATAAACGTTTCTCTCCTCTCGCGTTCTTTATTTTTCAATCAGCGGAACACACCGGCCCGAGGGGGCAGCGTCGGACTGGCTCTGCGATGGGACCTTCACACACTCGATTTTTACGGACCCTAAATCCCTGTAAATTACGCGACTCTCGATTTCATCTCCTTCTTATGTCTTTTCGCGTATTTTTGCTCGGCCAGCCATCGTTCCTGTTTCCTTCCGTAATCTCATGGGCGTGCAGTTCTCCAGTATTTGATCACACACACATTCAACTGCGCACGACGCACAAATCCATCATTCTTACTGTGTTCATTATTATTATCATCTGTCGTTTATTATTATTATAGTGTTCCTACAGTTGCGCGATCCGTTCGATATCATGAAGTGGAAGAAGTTAACCCCGGACATGTGCTATCGGCGGCGAGTATTTCGCGGAATGCCGTCGCCAAATGCGATAACACAGCCACGGGTCTTTTTGCGCGAACGCCGCGAGTGTCAGGCCCCGAGTGGCATTTGTGAGGGAGCGCGCGGATTACCAGATTCGCCCTGTTTATATGGCACTTAAAGTTGGTCCCGTCTCGCGCAGCTTCGCGCGCGCGCGAGAGAGAGAGAGAGAGAGAAAGAGAGAAAGAGGGAGAGAGAGCGTAGCCACTTACCTTTACGGGCTCTTAAGATCTAATTTAGATTAGAGTGTTTTTTTTCTTGCGGCTCGGGCTCGCGCTGCTACCGATGACGGCAGTGTCGGGCCCGACCGGGCTAATCGTCCGACTGCGAGCGGTCTCGACCAGTACCGGCGTGTCCCTGTTGGTTTTAATTTTTTATCCTGGCTGTAAACCCCAGGAGAGAGATAGGGAGAGAATAAAAAGAGAAAGAGAGAGAGAGAGGGAGGGAAGAGAAACAAGAGCGAAGGGCGTTTAAACCAACCGACGACGAGGCTCTCTGTCGTCGCTCTCCGAATGTCCCGACGCGGGCTGCTCACTTTTCTTCTGGCGAACGACCCGGCTAATTAATAACCTCGTAAACGTTAACACGTACGGCGTGTTATTCACGACGCTACGTTTCGATCGGTTCTCATGGTAACGTCGAGATGGAATCGGCAGGATCTCGCATTGACATCCAACGACAAACAGCAAGTTCTCTGTTATATCG